GGCACAACAGTTAGTGATCTACACATCGCAATTATTTATGGTGAAAATACCCTTGTCTACCCTTGGCCTATAATATCCCTTCAGCACAACAATTAGTAATATAAACATTACAATTGTATAAAAAGGTAAGTTCTGGTTTACTCGTCTTTGGTTGATATTATCCCGTCAGTAGAGCCGTTAGTAAACTATCACAATTGTCTTGGGTGGTTGAAAAACTCTATACGCGCGGGTGCACTTACGTCCACTGTCTGTATTATTAGGGGATGAAATTCTCTTCTGAACAAGCACACACAAACATTTACATATAATCTATTTCATTATTTATACATATATTATTCTAAAACATTTTTATGCAATCTACTAATATGCATATTTTTTTGTTGTGCAACTATTTATCATGCATATCTTTTATATCATTTATATATTTATCTCATGCATATCACTCACTTATATTATGTATATCTTTCCTACATGTCTATCTTACATGCTATTTTACATATAATATCTATCTAATTATCATTCATCTAATACATATCTTTCATACATGCACATCTTTTTCTACTACACTTATCATGCATATCTTTCCTATTAATAATATGAAGAATCTGCTGGAATATAAATCTAACTAAACAAAAACATACGTATAAATTGACATACATTTTAAAATAAAGAAAATTACTGAAATTTAGAAATGTAATTACTCATCTCATTTTCTACGCTAAACATTAAATGTTCCAATGGTTAGCTGGTGGTAACCTATAAGACATAATATTAAAATTTCAGATTCAAATAATTTCTGTTAATCAAATTAATCTTCTTAACATAGAATAAATTTACCTGAAATTTATGGGGTCGCTTAACAATGAATGTTCACACTCTCGCTTCGAGCTCGCGACATGGTAAACAACCTAGAATCCGCAATTAACTTTAGATTTAAAGATACTTTTGCTAATAAAGTAATTTGACCTTAAAAATAAAAATGATTTGCTAAAGCATACCTTAAACAACTTTCTTGACAACCAATCCTTTTCTAAAGCGGCCAAATTTACTTTCCATCACCTCCAACGTTGATATCATGCTATAACTCTTTTGGAAGTTCGTAAAAGAAGTTCGACTCTTCTGGCACACAATCGATGCCTCCGAAGGCTACCAGAAATGAGAAAAACACGAAAAACGAAGCAAACTTCAACTTGGAAGGGTGAGGAAGGAAATGAAAGCTTAAAATGTCGAGAGAGAGAGGAATTCATACCCTTGAATTTCACCTCGGTTTGCTTGCAACCCGCGACTACTCGCGCCCTTACACTGTAGCAAGGGCCGCAACCCCTTCTGCTACTACCGTAACCGAACATGAAGAGGGGACTTTGGGAGAAGAAAATAGGGGGAGAGGAATTTTCAAAGCTTGCGTCTGACCTATTCGACAAACGAAGGAATAAAAGCGAAGGAATGTCAGTTTACTACAGTGAATCTGCAGGATTAACGTAGGATTAGGAATTAATTAACTTTAATTAATTTAACAAAATTTCTAATTTTTCAATTTTATATCTCTCAATTTATTCATAATTAAAATATATTGCTATATCAAACTGCTCGATTTTATAAAATTAACTCAACCGAAATCTGGGGGTGCAAAAATTGAGGTAGATTTTATGTCATCAAAATTTTATCCGATTCTCAAAAATTAGTTATTACATCTTCTTTCATCTAGCCAAGTAATGCTATATAGTATATTCTCTATCCCCATTAATCAGTTCTCCGCTTCAATTGGGTCTTTAATTCCCTTAAACAAAGGTGGACGTAGATCATGAAATATTCCTCAAGCACTTGTCCAAAACAATTGCATCACTGGGTTGTGATCTGGACTCCTGAATTAGCCAAGTCATCGTCGCCATCATTTGGGTGACAACATTTGTGTTCACAATAATAGTATGTGGTAATTCTTTGTTTTCTATCGGATCCCCTTTTTCTATGATTTCAGGTGCATCACTATACCTGAATGGATAATAATTATTTTTATAATTAGTAAAATTTTCTAATAATTATTCTATTGACTCTTTTATCAAGATTTCATTAATTAATCTCAAAAATTGTCTCTGCTACCACTTTTGTCACGATTTGGCCTGGGGCTTGAAATTAACTAAGACGGTACAGACGGTTGAATAGTGTGAATTAAATTTTCTATACGATACAGTCGGTTGAACAGTGTGAATTAAATTTTCTATATTAAGTTTCAATTTAATAAATGAAAGAGCTACTAAAAAATAAATTAAAGCTGCATAATTTAAAATTATCTAGTTATTGGTTGTCCGTATCTTGTATAAACTTTTTATCTTCTATTATTATCTTTTAATTAATTAAATTTATCTGAAAGTTAGCTTAAAATAACTGTGAGCTAAATGAACATGTAAATATCTATACTCTTAAACTATAATTATACAAAGAAAAAGAAATAATATGCATGTCAACTAAAATTTTTAATAAATCAATCTAAATATTTGATGCTATTCAAATAGTCTTATTATATAATAACATGTTAATATCATATCGTATTTAGACAACCGTTACAGGAACCACCGTGTAAAATTTGTGTCAATTGAGGCACATTAATTTCAATATTATTTTTCATTTACGTGCACAGTTTCATTGGTGTTCCTCCACTAATACCATCAAGGGGTGCTTCATTATAGCCAAACATGCAAATACAAACATACTATAAATCATTTTGTTTACATTCTAAATATCATCAAATATCTTTCTTTATAACATGCATGTGTAATACATAAATATAACTATGCAAATCATTCACATTCATTTCTAAATGATGAAATTGAATAATAAGCCAAAATGATCATATTCTAGTTGCATTAACAATATATTTTGACTAATGCAAGTGATTTAGAAGAAATACAATATTATTACCATAATTTAGAAGGAAAAGTACTTTATATCGACAATAGACAATTCACTTGCCCTTGACGTCAATTTTTCTAAAATTGAAAAATTGACATAAACTTGATATAAAACTTAATTTATTTTTTATTTTAAGTACACTATCATCTTTTTAGTTATGTATTAAATTTATTTCATTATGCTTATTTTTCTATTCAATAAATATATTATTATTATTACTTAAATAAAAAAAACTATCATTACCTCCTAAAAAACTACCACTACTAAATTTAATATATGCTGTGTTCCCCTACTCTTTGGGTTGGCATTTGTCATGTTAATTCTAAGTTCCCTGGGGTTGGGGGTTCGATCTCGTAAGTGTGCGGATTCGTCGAGTGTTTAGACGCATGAGGTTGGTTGGGGGTTCGTTTCATAGCCTCTGACCAATATAT